GAAAGCATGTCGCCAAACAACATGTCATATCTCTTGTAACAGCAAGGCATGTCTGACCGTAGTGAGTTAGTACTTTCCTGGACCGCAGGATACCATTGTTGAAAGACTACGCAGCACTCGAATGCTGCATTGTATCGCCCATGTGTTGGTGATTCGTACAACCTTATCACTGAAAAGGCCTCTTGGACTCGAGAACATGGTAAAGTATATTCACGTATATTTTCCCCTTTACGAAACAAACTCTATACTACGCCGTCACATTCAAAACGACAGTGCTCGATACAACAGTGTGTGCTTGACACCGAACGCATGAAGAGGTCGCATGGAACTGCTCGACACAACAGTGTGTGATTGACACCGAACACATCAAGAGGTCGCATGGAGTTGCAAGAACACGAGGCAGCTGGCTGCTCATTATCTATTGTTTCTTAATTTGGTCGTACATGGAGTGATAGCACATATCCGCGATGCGTCTCTTGCCATCGTCTGCTGCGTTGATCGCTCCAAGGAGGCGGTGGCACAAGGCAGTCAAGCAGTCGCAAAACAACTTGTTGCGCCCAGGTATGTCAATGACCATGATCTGTTGCGTCGACAAGGTTGTGCATGATAGGAGGGCGAAGATCACCTTTTTGGCCTTGAAGAAGTTGGATTGCTCCGCTCTCGAGGCAAAATCCTTGGAGGTACAGGCACGAAATGGCGGCACACCGTCGCTGCGGCTCCCGTCCCACCAAAGGTTCCATATGTCAAACACTTTTCCTTTAGGGCACGACAATTTGGACGTTTGCAGGCCACGCGGGTAAGCCCACCATTCGTTGGTGGAGGGAACCGTTGGGGGCGAGCCTGTGACCGCGGCCACACAATTCGTAGCACGTGGCAATGTCAACAATTCAATCCTTCGTAGCATCGTATCGCCAAACACACGTAATGAATTGTTGAGCACATCCATCGTGACTGGGTCGCCACGAGAGCTGTGCATGTGCTCGCGCAACTCTTTGCCGACTTCCTCTGGCACTTTTTTCAGTTTTTTGGTAATTTCAACCTTGAATTTTTGGACGATGGACTTTACCGATGCGACTTGCAGAGACAAGGGAATATGCGGTGGTATTCCAGTTGCCACCAGTCCAGATATCTTGTTCTTAAGAACACCTGAGAGGACGTGGGTGGCGAGTGACGGAATCGTGCCGCTCGTCCACACATGCGACAAAAACAGTGGATGGTCGACTGCAAGCGTAGCCTTGCGCCATTTGCAGTGGTACACGAGCGACGCCAACAGGAAAGGAATGACCGATCGAAATGTGGCAGGATAGAACGTTGTAAATCCAGGCAAAATGGCATCCCACTGGAAATCCGACAATGCAGCACCATGGAAATGAGGTCGAAGGGCGACAAAGGAGGTGACGTTAACATTGAGCCCTACCAAGAAAATATTAATTATTTTCTGCATTCTATTCGAGAATTACCTGACGCTGCTCGTCCCACGAATTGATCTCCACCGGCACTTTGGTAAATATACCGGCCCTGCACACTGCCTAATCTCCAACCGGCACGCAACCAAATGGACATCGCCTGTGAACCGCCGGGGCAATTTGCTAGCTCGGATGCCACGCCTTTCCGGAACGAATGACTCCCGATTTCTGCGATGAGGGAGACCTAACGCCAGCATTTCGTCGCGGCAGCGCACACACGTCTTCGCCAGCCATGCCGAAAATCGCTCTTTGAAATTCGCCCCGAACAAAAGCATTGAGCTGGTCCCTGCACTTCGGAGGTTGTGTGAACAGGTATATTGCTAAACTACATGCAACGTCACAATTTACTCCAAGTCCATTCTCGAAAAGAATTACCTCAATATCGGACAGATTTCAGGGCATGTTGGGTTGGCGTACACACGACGTGGGTAGCACATCTCACCAGTTTGGTCGTTTTTTGCCAGTCCAAACTCAATAATGAGCGCATCACCTGAGGAAAACAGTGCAGTTAAGTCAAACTGCTAATTACTACCTCCCCATGTCGCATGCTCCAGCCTAATCGATGCGGTTGTAATCGAACGTGCCATCAGATTCCAGCAAAGCATCAGGAACGAGTGTGACGCCATGCATAAATTGTGACCCCTCGTCGAAGTAAGCGCTTGCAGAGCCAAATACCTGAAGCCTTTACTAAAGTAGAATCGACAATTCAAAATTCCACTCATATGCACCTGATTATGACAATGGTGCTTTGCCTTCGGTTAATTTCATTTCGCCAACCGAACAGTTGGGCAACCTTCAGTTTGTAGCCAGCACTAAACTCTGCAACATGTTAGTCATTTGAGAAGCGTACTATGCTACCTGTCATCATTGTTTCGACTTCACTTGTATTTCGACTCCGCGCTCAGTGTAGAGATACTTCATTGCGATTTGGAATGCATTCGGCGCCGAGTCGATTTGTCTTGATGCTAGTGTGTTGTAACATGGCCTTACATACCGACACACTGAGGAATAGAATTATGGCTCCTCCGACTACGCACGACGGGTGATCCTTTTCCAGCCAACGCGTCAAACGTGTAATCGTCGTGCCGTATTGCCTCCTCGTGCTGCTAACCACGCGGAGAGCAATTTTGTCGTCGCCCGGCTCCACAGTCGCATTGACCTCACTGTGCTTTCTCTTTGCGGCCATCGCCAAGTGCCTCCGACTGGCCATGGCGCCACAGCCAGAATAAAGCGATACGAATCGACATTGGAAAACTTTCCGGATACCTGTGTTTCGTAAAACCAAAATATAGTAGTATATATCCAGAAGCATACAAACTTTAAGACAACATGATTTACATATTTAGGCTTTACGAAACAAGTTTGTTTCG